TGAACTATAGAAAGGTCACATACCCTTTGAAACTTGAAGGAGAGAGTTGAAGTTACGTTCAGATTTAGATCAAATTATTGATGTGTCATAGTAAGAGGTGGATAATGCCAGATGCACTCAATATCTTCTGTGAAGACAGGAAAATTGATTTCTGGTGAGATAAATTTGAAGCTGCTTAGCAGAGTGCCAATAAGAAAAAGTTTGAAAAGATGTCTTTGGTGAGCAAGAAGTTTAGTGGGGAATATTCTATGATGATATGATGACAAAGAAAAATTCTATTGGCTTCTGCTTGTTCGACCTTTTCAAAATATATGTCATGCGTCTCCTCCTCCTGAAGATTCCTTCGATATTCAGATTGAATAAGAAGGGAAGCAAGGCTGAGAGAGATTTATAGAATGGAATACAATGGGAGAAATAAAGGGCTGATGTACTCTATGACTTTAAAGAGGAAGTCTCCAAACTTTAAAACATTTAACTCAGTAAAGGTACATATCATATAATGTTAATCCCCTATGAAAAAACTCATCTAATGTTTTCCCATCACAACCAAATTCTTCACAGAAATTTCTAAGCTCAAATAACCTTCATCCCTATCGCTTCCTCCCTGATCTAACCTTCTCCATACCTCCATCTTCTCTGGACATGCTTCCCCCCTTAGAGATTTCCCTTATCACCCATGCATGCACCCATCTATTTGTTTTTGCTGTTTCTTCATTTGGTGACATCATTAATGAGGGCCTGGGATGGCTTATGTTCTCAGTGCCTGACTCCATACTTTAGTCTGCTGATATGAACTAAGAGAAGAAGATTGAGGGCTCTGGCGAAGGTTTAGGATTAATGCTGTGGCCAATTATAAGCATGAATATATCAGAGAGATGGTAGAAGGATGGCTGGATAGTACCGTGAACCCAGCTGTGGTTGGAGAATATAATTTATAGTGTTCGAGGTTACCAGTTATAAGAAGTAAAACTGAAGTGCCCAGAAAGTGTACCAGGTATTCCAGTGATAGCCAAGCTGGATTAAAGTTAATTGTTAAAGTACTATTTATATTAGCATCAGTAACCTCATGGGTCAATATGAACAATGGAAATGACAATTACACACTAATCAATGCACTTGACATTTTATTTTTGGGGGGGAAGGAAATGTGTTTCTATAACTCAGAGCGATGAAACATCTTAATCATCTACCTCGTTCATATGAAACCACAATACAGGCCCAATAAATTCGACATGAACTAATAGGAAGAATATCAGAAATTCAGGGAATATTCTGCAGTGACTTCTTTGGCTCAATATTTCTGCCTTATCAATAAG